AGGACGCAGCCTTGGCGGAGACCAGTGCGAACACTGAATGGTTTCGACTTAACGTCATTAACTCTGACGCTGCACCTGCTCACGGAATACACTGATTGGATGCCCTTAGTAGCTGGCCATCTATCCCGTATGCTCGAAGGCCTGACCACATACTGTTCCGTGGGATCCGGTCGTAGGCTTTTTCTAGGTCCACAAAACACATCTACGCCAGATGGGCGCACTCCCACAATTTCTCAACAGTCTGACGCAGAGCAAATAGATGGTTAGCGGTGTTTCGATCGGCCGGAATCTGCACTGTTCTTCTTGTATCTTGGAGTCAGTTTTTTCGGGCACTTCTTTTCTAGTGCCTCTGCGTTGACCTTGCCCGGGTGGCTCACTAACGTAATTCCCATATAATTGGAGCATTCCTTGTAGTCTCCCTTCTTGAATAAATGTACAGTAACTCCTGTTCTTTAATCAGCAGAGGTCCTTCCCGCAGTCATCGCAGTTTGACAGACTCGTCTACAGAGATAGTAGTATCCGTTACCTGTTGCTCTACCATCGAGTTTTCAAGCCGTTGCTCGACGTTGGAGAGTTCCTCAAGGTACGCTCTCCATCGCCTAAAAATGTCATCATCCTTGGTGAGAGGTTGTCTAGACCTGTCCTTCGAGACTTTGACGTTGCCCTTTTCACCTCGGAGCTGGCGGATGGCCTGCCAAAATTCTTTGTCTACTGCTGGAAATTCGGCTACAACGCCTCACCGAACTTTTTCCGCGAATCAGCTTTGGCTTTCGCCACTGCTTTCGCTGTCAGCTTGCGTACCTCTACATATCGCACACGAGTAGAAGGTTCTTTGTTTCCAAGCCATTTATTGAACGCTGCTTTGTTTTTTTTTGACTGCTAGCTATACCTCTCATGTCCACCAGGCAGATCTTTCTGACCTCCAGGCGGTAGGCCAACCCATTCAAAGCCGCAGCGTTGGGCGGTAGCCTCGAGTATGGCGCTGTTAAAGAGCTGCCACTTGGTTTCCACATCGGTTATCATCTCCGCACAAACCGCCGTGCGATGTTATTTGCAAATTTCGCCCTCTTTTCACCGAAGATTATGTTTCCCATTTGATTCTCTGGTTGCTTTTGCCATCAGATCTTCGTTTGGAACTCCATATCTTATGGAGATGGACATTCGACTTCACTCTTCGAATTTGCAGATGGTAAACAAGGTGTTATTCTGTCAGGCCATTCCGCGGTCCAAGGTGACCAAGGATGATGGCACTCTTCGGCGATCAAGGGAGTACTTTCACGAATTCCTTCACCTCGTGCAACCGTAGAAAGACTCACCTGTGGAACAGCAGCAAGCAGATATTAGTGTTTCTGTAAATAAATCCTACAAGTTTTTCAAAACTAGAAATGTAAGTGGGCTGCTGGAATTGATGAAACCCGCCTGGAAATGTCCAAAGCAATGGGCGAACTGACGTGACTCTCAAGCTGTAGTAGCTGCGGTAAAGACAAACGGAGGTTGTAGTACTCCTTTTCAGCAAGATAGACCAGAGGGTGTGCACGGATTATCGAGAATTTACTTTATTGAACTTTCCTGGTGAAGGCTATGCAAAGGTGCTAGAAAGCAGGTACCGCGAAATAACTTACTCCATGATACAAGAAGAACAGCTTGGCTTCCCACCTGGTCAAAGTGTGTCACCAGTTATTTTCTGTACGCCAGATTGTTGGGAAATGATGAAATTCGCCCATCCGGTGTATGTGCTTTGCTAATCTAGAGTAATCTTATGGCTGGATCCAGCGAAACAGTCTGTGGGCATTCCGGCAAGCATATGGGATGGATGGCTCGTTGCTGCGGGTCATCCAATCACTATATGCTAACAGCAGGTGCTGCGTCAAAGTAAATGGCGGTTAGTCAAGACCTTTCATTGTTGGCACTAGCCTCCGCGAATGCTCCGTCCTGCCAATCTTCTGTTTGTGTTGTACATGGATAGAGTTGTTAAGGGCCATGTGCGTATCACCATAGATGTCGACAAGAGAGGGTTGCTGTTTAGACAGGACCTTGTTATGTTGGCATCTTCTGAAACTGATCTACAGTGCTCCTTGAAAAGCTTCGCAGCCGAGTTCGACGTGGCCGGCATGCGTGTGAACGTATCTATAGTGAAAAGCCTACTGCTTTCTCTTTTTGCCTGTTGCTTTCTTCAGACAAACTAAGAAGCAGATGGGAAAGTGTAAATCCTTCGGGGCCGTATTTAAGGATGATGGAAAATTTGAAGAAGAGATCGATTGGTGGATTGGAGTAGCCATTGGCGTTCTGCCTAAATTTACCCGAACCGCTGTGTCTAAAGCACAGCTAAGTCGAGAAACTGAGCGTTTTTTTCATATTCATGCAGTTATGAGTCATAAGCCATGATTGAAAATCTTCGATCACGAGTACAAGTGGCTGAAGTTGGCTTTCTGAGAAGAATAGCTGACCTTACGCGTCTCGACATGAGCCGGAGTACGGAAATTCTTTACATTGTGTACTACTGCTGCTTGTTCAGGCTAGATTTCACGATTTTTTGGCTGCGATTTTTTGGATACATGTTGCAAATGCCTCCGGCAAGGAAAACGAAGCAACTGCTTATTTCCCAATTGACCGGAAAAAAGGCCCAGGAAGAGCCAAAATTCATCTGGTGCAAATGCATGGATGATGTATTGACTCCAGTCATCTTCTGCCGTAGAACCTTAACCTCTGGTACAAGAGCGGGAATGCTGAAAGGAATGTTTGACGCATGTGCCTGGGCGACCTGAAAGTAGAAGCAGTCATGGAAGATGGAAAAGAAATTTCGTCGTGATAAATCTTACAATTTTTAGTTTATGTTAGATGATCATAAAATTACAAGGAAAATACGTTTCTATTCAAGATGCAAGTTGTCTTGTTTCATGTAAGGAGCTAATATTTTGAAATTGTTAATGTCTTATAGTTAATCGTTTCCATCAGCTGATT